AAGGTCTTAAGGACCACCAGTAAATCTGATATACGGACTGTATCCACCCAATTTATTTGAAGGTGATGAAGTCTACTCATCTGATTGTGGTAAAATTCAACTACCAGTCCTTTTTCACCTTAAACGAAGTTGGATTATTACGGCTCTTATATCAGATCTAGTAGTAGTAATAGTCTCAAAAACCCAACTAGAAACGGAAAATTAGCTGTCCCAGACTGTGTAAGGTGTTTAAAGAATTGACTTAAGGAGGCAGGGATAAATGCAATTTGATGACATCGTAATGCAGGCTCACATTATTGTAGCGAACTGCCACATAGGCTGGCTACATTTGTTTACACTTCCAAACCCCTCCTCGAGTCTGTTCTCTTAATGTACACGGACTCAACACGGTGCTCTTCCGGAGAGCTTTTCAGGGTCTTTGTCTAAAGGGGTCTCGTGTAGATCAAATTTTCTGATTAATAACCTGATCTTACGCGAGGTCGCTCAGAAACTACTCTTCTCCAAATAGCTCTACTCGTACTGCCTCCTCTAACAGTTTTGTCATGGTCTCTTCTAGCATCAGGTCGTCGAATGGCTGCATTTCAAATAGTTTGGATGCCGAAGTATTCGGAGTTGTTAGTGACTTGATGCTCGGCGCTAAGAAGGGCGCTGTTCGCTGACAAAGCCAACTACAAGACAAAGAAAATGTAAAGAAGTGTGCTCACTCCATGATTTGGTGCTGGAAGAAGTCAGAACATTAATGGCTGGGGAAAGTGTGAGGTTGGTAAGACTGGTAATGTTAGCAACGTTGGTGGTCACCACGTTTGGGAGGTTGATAAGGTTGGGTTGAAGATAGTGAATTTGGTGATTTTTATGACGATGGTGATGTTGGCGAGGTGGTTAGCGTTGGTGTGGCAAATGCTGTTAAATGTGAGTTGTGTTCATCCTGTTTCATTAAAGGTGATGCAAAAGTGGTAGTTGATTTTTCCCACAAAGATATGAGTTGAGCTGACGTTTCCATTAATTTTCACATTTCCTTGCTTTCCTAAAAGTTGTTCTCATCCAGGCTCGACTGTAGTTCCGACCTCGCATAGCTCTAGTTATGTCAATGTGGGAAAAATCAACTACCAGTCATGAATCAGCTTAACCTAAATAGGGTGAACACAACCCATATATCTGATTTACTGGTAGACTCAAAGACCTGCTCACTTATGAGAAATGTTTTGAACGTTGGCAACAAATTTGCGAAATATTGTGAACTGACTTGCCATTTTGGAAGGAAGGAATTCGAGATGGGTCTCACCGAAAACCAAGGGAGGATTACTTTGTATGGAAGACTGTGCGGAGAAATCCTCACCTCACCGTTCTGCTATCTCGATGAACCTGTCCTAAACTTTCGTCTATACTCTGACAGGCATTATCAGATCAGGAATCCATACTTTACGAAATAGAGCAAAAATATAGTAAACCAGAAAAAAAAGTGTCAAGCTGCAACCCCAATCGCTTCTTAGACACCTTCTTTCACTATCTTAATGAGGTATCCCTAGATTTGGTTGGCTACTTTAACCTTACTCTACAAGATATGAAGACCAAAATGTTGTGGCTTCTGGTATGGTCACCTTCTCCTTTAGATGTATAGAAGTTGACCTCGTTGTCGCAACTTGGTCTTATTGTCAGGGCGACTATGTAGAACGCACCTAGTCCGAAGTCGTCTGCCAAAGTAGTTGTCATGATTCCCAGCATCAGACGGTGGACTTGGTACATTCGCAAACGTTTCGACGGCATCGGAGTCAGCATCATCCACACCAAGCCACGAACTCGTCAAAGAGACGAGTGAGGTCAATGCCTCGACAAACGTTCTGCCGAAAATGGTCACACTATCACTCCTCTTTCTATACTGGCCTATCTATCCACTCTTTACCCTCGTAACCCACTGCCTTCTGTCACAACTTCCAACTTGTTGACATTCCACTCGTCAATAAGTGTGCCTTATCCACTCGTATAAAATTAAGGAGTATCTCCACCAGGCTTCTATTCAGTAGCTGAACGGTATAAGTTGTTTAATTTTTTTTTGTATTTGAGTAGAATTTTGAGACTACCAGTAAATCAGTAATATGACAGGTATTTACCCTATTTCGTGTAAGGTGATGAAGGACTGGTAGTAGAATTTTCCCACAATGATTTGAGTATAGCGGAGGCTTCCATTAAATTGCACATAGCCTTGCTTTCCCAAAAGTTGTTCTCATTCAGGCACCAGCAGACTGCAGTTTCGACCTCGCATCAACTGGTCTTATCAACATCCTCATCGGGACTTGAACCGGAAGATTTTCAAAATCTCCAGAGCATGACCGACAGGAAATCGTATGGGATTTCTGACTTACCAACACAACAGCATATTGATGAATTGCGTAAGTTTGAGATTATAAGACAACCTAAGTTAAAGCCAGTACGTCCAGTTGAAGTGGCTTCCGAGGTGACAACACTTATTGATCAGCACGGCGATGGAAAGAAAGTATTAAACTCATCATCAATTCCTCTCAATCGCGAAACGACCGCGTTCCTGGAAAAAGGACTCAATTTTTCAGTTCAACATCACAGAAGCCTTCTAGGAGACATCCTGGTCGAGGTTATCAATATCACTGACAGCTTCCTTGAGGAGACAAAACGGGAAATGGAGATGGAACTCATTCCAAAGATCTTGACACATCAGGAGCCAACACACATGAACAGATTTGCCAGGATACGCAAAACCCTGGAAACGAATGATCATTTAGTTCTTCAGGCGGATAAACGAGGAGTTACAGTGATAATGGACAAAAAAGAATATACCGAGAAGATGGAACATATTCTACGAGACAGGACCATACTTGTGGAGACAAATCTAATGAACTGGAGATTGGAGGAAAGTAGAGTTAGCGATAACTTTGCCTACTGCATTAGCAAACTCGAGGAAAACAAGAAAAGAGCAAGACCAGCAAAGAGGAGACGTCTGGATCAAGGATCTACCGCTAACAGGAGGAAAAGGGATCGTGATGAAGAAGGTGGGGGGCAGGGGTTTTCGGCAATAAAGCGAAGACATTGTCAGTCGGTGATGTCCATTTCGAATAAACCAGTACAACTTTGGGGGTCTGGCAGTCAGGGAGATGGGCAGACGGATAAGCAAACCGTCACGGAAATTCAGCGTCATGGCCAAAATGTACCAGAAATCCACTTGAGATGCGGCATGCGACCAGAGATTGGCGTCCACAGTTTGCTCAGATAACATGTGTTTAATGAAGGAGAGGATCCGTGAAGGGAAGGCCTGATATCTTCAAGCATGGGAATCACATTCTAGGCGCTCCGCTCGATGAGGCGGCAGTGTACATGCTTCTAGGATCTTGGGAAATAGCGCCTGGAGTGAAATGCACACTGGGACTGGAAACGAGTTAAACCGGTCAACCAGAAATATAAGGAACGGACTTACGAGACAATAAGCAGATCCGGATCGGAGGCCCGAGTGGGATCAGCCGATCGAAAGGGAGGGGTCGGGGTAGATAGCAAGTGTGACGAGGCCACATTAGATTTGCCACAAAAGGGCACACATTTTGGCGAGTTGAATGGAAACAATTGAGAAGTTGTGATAGGGCGGCAGTGTGAGAAGAGGATAAAGAGTAGATAGATAGGCCAGTACAGAAAGAGGAGTGATAGTGTAACCGTTTTCGGCAGAACAGTTGTCGATGGCTTGGCTTCACTTGGTGCGGAGACTGACAAAACTGACTGATGATGTCGACTACGATGCCGGCGAAACGTTGGAGAATGTACCAATTCCACTGTTTGATGATGGGAACCATGACAACTATTATGGCAGACGACTTCGGACTATGTGCGTTCTACATAGTCGCCCTGACAACAATACCAAGTTGCGACAACGAACTTGCAAATGAATGAAGTTACTTCACGAACCGGAAGTGCGTTCGGCGGCAGCTGCCTCCTCACACGAATAAACTATTATACGATCTCCTAATGTTGAATCATGTTTGGGCGTGTGTCAATGTCTATTGTGTGTATGTGATGTTGATGTCATGGGAAATGTTA